TCTGGGGGTGCAGATAGGAGTGTCACCTGCAGGATCTCTGTGCCAGCAGGACTATTCATGAACTGTGACTGGGATGGGTGGGAGTTCAGTTATAGGACCCTTTCAGAATCCATATCCTGACCAAGTTTAGCAGGCATACCTTCAGGGATTCCCAGACTGTGACCAAGAGGGGCTACAACTGGTTTATGGGTCACTTGAGAGTCCACAGCTGAGACTGAGGTCTATGTGTCTATCACCCAATGCATGGCATGACTTTTCCCTTGACAAATGGTGCTGATGACAGAACCAAAGCCAAATAGGGTTGTAGCTGAGTCCTCAGGGGTATGAAGCTATTTCTGGATCTGCAGCCCAGACCATAATCAGTGAGTTAGCCACCTGGGTGCAGGCCTGCCTTCCCAAAGTGGCTCTTCTCGGTCTTGGACTGCACCAGAGTTTCACTGTCTCTTACCTGAATCCCAAACCTCCCACAAAGGCACTTTTGTCCATAGGTGGAGGCCAAATTGCTCTTGTTAAGGGTAAGATAGCTGTTAGGGATGTCCCATTTGGTCATCTTGCTGACCTGTATTCCCTTCTGGAGGCCAAGGGAGAAGCTGTATCTTAGGATATTCAGTTATTGGCAGAATTTAGTTCTGTGCAGTTGTAGACCTGAGCTTTCCATTTCCCTGCTGGCTACCTTCCAAGAGCTGCTCACAACTTCTAGAGACTGCCTGTATACCTTGGCCCATGGCCCCATCTTCCATCTTGAAAGCCAGCAACAGTGGGTGTGGTCCTCATCAAGGTGTATCCTTTCTATCTCTTCTGCCTCCTTATCTTTTACAAGTTCTAACTGTTTCATTTTATTCCTCTGACTATAAAGACCCATGGGACTATATCTGGGCCACTTGAAGAATCCAGAACAATCTTTCAATTTTAGGATCAGCTGATTAGCAACTTTAACTCCAACTACAAAGTTCGTTTTGCAATGTGCCATAACATATTTGTAGGCCAATTACCAGGGAATAAAGATCATGGTCCCACCTAGTTAAGACCAGCTTGACTCCTAAGGAGTGATTCCTGACAAGACCTGGTGTAAAGGGAATATTACTCTGAAAGAGTGGGCTCAGACCTTGCACTCTTCCCCCAGCACTCTGAAAGCCCCAAGGTGGTGGTTCAAGGCCCTCCCAAAAATTCAGCACAGAAGTTAAGCTGACTGGTTAGGACTTCATGCCTCTTTCTTCTTCTCCCCTGCATTTTGCAAGGAGGAAGTAAAGGCTCAGAGAAACCAAGTCATTGCTCAAAGTCACAAACTCAGTTCATGACAGTGCAATAGAAATACCTGATATTCATTCATTTATCCGTTCAATAACACTTGCTAAACCCTACCAGCTAACTGCACCAGGGAAACAAACATGAAATAAACCTTGCCAATCCACCTATCAGAGATTTTTGTTTGTTTTCCTAAGATACAAATGCAGTTAACATGTTTGCATACTTGATGCTAGTTCAGTAAAGTTTCCCACATATTTTTACATAAAAGTTTGATTTTCTCTAAGATCATCTGCTTCAGCTCAAAGGCAGCTGTCAGGGTGATAGGACCTGATTCAAATCCAAGCTGTGTGTCCTTAGGGAATTCACTTAGTGATAGTATTTACCTGAAAGGGCTGTTGTGAGCAGGGTTGAGTGGTATCTGCACGTCACTGGGAACTAGCATATAGCAGGTGCTCAGTAAGTGATAGCCGTGATCGTTGTCATTACCCAACCTCCCTGAGCCTCAGTTTTATTTTTTATTAAGTGGGCACAATAATAAGCATATCATGGGGTGATTACATGAGGAAGTATCAATAACACATGTGGCACACAGTTTGTACAAACACACCTCCCCTTCCTCCCTCCTTAACAACCTCACTAAACTGATTCTTTTTGTGGCTTACACCTTCAATAAAACACTTCAGGAAAGGTCTGTGATAGAGAGGCAATGCAGCAGGGGTCAGGATTTCAGGGTTCTTTAGAGGATCTGAAACTACCCTCCTGTGTGACTTTAGGCAAGGGGTTTGGCTTTTATGATCTTCAGTTTCCTCATCCATGAAGAACAGAATGCTCTAGAAAATAGTCTTCACCCCCTACTTTGGTTTTAAATTAACCAGAGAGTTACGCCAGTCTCTAGGAATGGAATCTTCCAAAATGCACAAGGCTTGCAAATCCCTTCATCATGCAGTTTTAGGGGGTCAGTCTCCCTGCTCATTTCATTTTCTTTTTGCTGATGTGGCTGGTCTCCCCAGGGAGATCTTGGATGGACCAAAGGATGACACAGGAAATTGGAAGCCAGGTGAGACCCAGAGAGAAACCCAAATAAACAAGAGGGCCCCAGACCTGAGACAGATAGGTGGCTTCCAGAGCAGCAGCCTCAGAGGAAGAAACAAACTCAGGCTGTCAGAGGAAGCGTTGTAAAGAGAAAACCGTGACGGAGCAGGTAGTAGGAGGTGGCTCTTATTAACATTCTCCACTGTCCGGTGATGCAGCATCCATCCCTGGAGTGTGGTGCCCCCACGTTAGGACCTGGCAGGCCTCCATGCTGAAGGAGGCCATGGAGCTACCTGCCCTACCTTGGGAAGAGGCCAAGAACAGCACAAGGGGATCTGGAAAGAAAATATACCAACCTGACCCAGAACCAAGCACAGAGTCAGGCGAGGCCAAGGTAGGAGCAGTAAATTATGTGTTAGTGAGAAGCCAGCACCCCCAAAGCAGAACTGTCTCTTACCCACCTCAGAAAGAGTTCTTTGGGGTTTGCTAGAAACAGAGACTCTTTTAAGCTGTCTCAAAAAATAAACACTTATTGTCAGGACGCACAGTCAACAAAAGAGACTGGACCACAAAAGAAGCCAGTTTGTTGTCTTCAATTCAAGGCATCACCAATGCTGGGATTTTTCCGTTTGTTCTCTCCTTCTATTTATGTCTTCTTGTTCTCTGACAAACTGGCTTGCTTTCTGTATTTTCTGAGTGACATTCCAAAAGGAGAAAATCTGGCTATTCTAGCTGATTACCATTGCCCTTACTTTTCAGGCCAATCTTCATTATGGCTCAGTGGCCAGCCTACGAATTGGCTGCCTTCAAGTCAAATATTTACTACCAATCTAGTAAGTAGCAACTCTTTATTTAAGGAACTACGTCAGAGTGACCTGTTGTGGGTGGGACTGATAGCCTTCGAAGGTAGTGGTGAATAGCAGATGTCATGTTGAACATGTCTAGTGAACATCCATGTAAAAAACAGTAATTAAGAGACTATAACGGGCTGGTACCTACTAAGCTCTGGACCCCAGGAAGTTCCCATTTCTGCCCCTCAGGGTCCAATCAGTGGCAGCATCTACAACGACAGAGGCCCCACCTAATGTATCACAGGGACCTGATATCTTGGCCTTATGCGTGACAGGAAGGGAACCAAGGGAGGAAGTAAATAGAAGGACCTAGACAGACAGAGGGTTCCTAGAAAATGCAGTTCCATAAATTGTTCTGGATGGATTTTTGCCTGGGTTCTGGGTCGTCCCTGATGGAGTCACTAGTATCACAACCTGTGCACCCAAATGCATTCCTTCCCGTCCTTTCTGTTCCAGCTGATGATTCCCAAAATAATGCTCATACCTATAGATTCATTAGTTGGGAATCAGACAGACCTGGGATCTATCTCTGGCTCAGCTGTGTGTCCTTGAGCAAGTCACTTAGCCTCTCTAAGCCTCAGTGTCCTCATCTATAAAATTACACTAAGAAAACCTACTGTATGCATGGACCACTATGTTCGGGATCATTCTTTCCATTGCTATTGGCATGTGACTGAACAGTGTTGGACTCTTGAAAGCAGTTGTCATTCCTTCTGTGACAGGAAATGGATGGAGGCTTGGAAAGAAAGAAGGAAGGACTTCAAGGCATTGCTTCCAAGGCAGAAGTGTGAAGGTAGAAGGGGAATAGTGTCAGGGCCCCTGAGGTCACGGGCTCCAGAACCAGTGCCCTACACAGCCATCCTGGGGATGGGCTGGTGTCAGATTGGAGACAATCGAGAGTTATAATGTCAGAGTCCAGGCCAGTGCTGACTCAGAGAATCCTTGGCTGATGCAACTCTGAGGTGGCTGAAAGGTCCTTTCCCACTCACTGCTGGAGCATCTTGTCCACATTCTGTTACACTGCTGGGAACTCGGGAGCCCAGAGACAGCATTTTGGGGAGAGAGTCCCCTTTCCTCCTGGAGATGCCCTATCACCGGATGAAATGGCCTGATGCCCAGAGCGGCACAGGGGATTCAGGAAGAAAAGTATGACTCCTAGAGGGCACATAACTGGGCGTAGTCTTCTGTTTTCAAGATCAAGGCTACATGACAGCTACAAAAGCAATGAGAAGAGAAAACAGGGGCTGAGGATGGGTTTATGAGATTGCCAAGTTTCCCCTTCAAGAACCATTTTGGGGCAGGATGGGATCTTTTGAACATGTAAACCCTAAAATTCTTGGATAATTCAGGATAGTAAAGGAGGGGGTATTGGCTGTTCTATTAATCTGGATATGTGGGTGCTGTAGAGAGCTTTAATCTTAAAAACCAAAGTGATAGAAGCCTTATGCCAGCTCCCGCACCCCGTAGGGGAAAGACATTGTATTATTGTTCTGAGGAAGCTACAAGGACATAGGCCTGGAAGAAATGATACTATGGGCTTTGTACACAGCTCCCAGGGATTGAAAGTCCACTCAGGGACTTTCACTGTATCAGGCCCACTGAGGCCTTCATTTGGGGCGGGGTTTTGATACCCTTGTGTGGACTAACCCAGATGTCTTTGTACTGTCAAAGAATCTAGACACTGCGTGGAGTCATGCGGTCTCTAGCTCCATGGCTGCCTGTTGGAGCTTGAAGTTCACATGCAGCTTTGCCAATAACAGGATACAACAGAGCATGCTCAGAGCAGTGGGGCTGAGTGGGCTGTGAAGGAAAGATGGTCTCCATTCAATCTGGAAGCTGATAAGGTTCTCCCACCTGTGCTAATCTTACCTTGGCACCTACTGCACCACTTGCTGTATATCTGAAGGTTCATCTTCCTCAAATCCTTTGCTCAAATGTAAAATATGTGTGACAATATTCATCTGCAAGAAGGAAAATCATAAAGAAGTTAAAGCTCAGATTCTGCTCTACACACAGCTGTGCTATTAATTTTGGCATTTCGGCTTTATTCATGAACCACTTGACACCCCACACAGCAGGATGTTTAGGGTGACTATAATGAAATTCATACAAAGGAAACAATTTAACTATCTGTCTAATTCATATAGATTAATTTAGTTCAAGTATAATTTAGGGCTTTTTTGAATCTGCATTACCAAGTTATCATTTTCTTGGTAAAATAAATTTTCCTTCTCACTCTTCTCTAACTGTACACAGAAATAGACAAGAGATGGTCATCTGGAACTTCCGTTGCCATCCATGGAAAATTCTAGAAGCTATTATTTAATCAACTAGTTCCATGTGAGTGGCTTATTGAATAAAGGAGGAATTGCTTTGGGGGGGAGATATTTTGGAATGTGAAGAGCTTAAATCTGAATGGGAAGCATGAGTGAGGAAAAACATGACCCTAGCATGTTGAGCATATTGGTGTTAGACTGAGGTCAGCATGTCATTTGTGACTCTACTGAACAAAGGATATGAGCAAAAAAGAACTGGCTTTCATTTTATCTATTATGTGCCAGCTATTGCACATATTTTAAATACATTACTTTTTTGAGGTTATGTTTCAAGCTAATATGTATATTGCCTCACTTATCTTATTAAGCATAATAATAGTATTGGCATCATAGAATCGTAAGGTAATGTATGTGGCCAACCTTTGGTCAGATTCATCTTTGGTCTAATAGACTGTGGATCAGAATGGGTATAGATGGTGGAGACGTATTGCTAGAGACACCTCTCTGTGCACAGGGAGTGAAGAGAGGGCATTTCTAGAGGAAAGAGAATATGGTGAACTCTACAAAGACTCCAAAAAGTGCCTTCTAGAGTAAATCTGTACATGGCTCTCTAGTCCTTAGTTTCCTCCTCTGTAAAATTGGGGTAATAGTAGGACCTTCTTCTTAGGATCGCTGTGAGGATGAAGTGAGAAATATAAAATATTTTAGATAATGATTATGCATAATCAGCTCTTTCCAGGCACATGTCGACCAGCTCACTCTTTTTTTCAGTGAAGGTTCTGAGACACCACTTCTTTTAAAAAGCTCTCTAGGGGCGCCTGGGTGGCTCAGTCGGTTAAGCGTCCGACTTCGGCTCAGGTCGTGATCTTGCGGCCCGTGAGTTCGAGCCCGCGTCGGGCTCTGTGCTGACAGCTCAGAGCCTGGAGCCTGTTTCAGATTCTGTGTCTCCCTCTCTCTGACCCTCCCCCGTTCATGCTCTGTCTCTCTCTGTCTCAAAAATAAATAAACGTTAAAAAAAAAAATTAAAAAAAAAATCTCTCTATAACTCCCAAACTCTAGATTAGTTTCCTCAATAGGTGTTCCCATTTGAATCTTGTCCTTACCCAACAGGGTGCTTATCACACTCTAATATAATTATATATTATATTATATTATATTATATTATATTATATTATATTATATATATAATATAATTATATAATTATATATATATAATATAATTATAGTTGTTGCAATATCTATATTGCAATTATCTGCCCCCAGAGTGAGTATCTGAGCACCTTAAGGTCAAGGAATAAGTTGTACACACTATTTTATCCCCAGAGCCCAGAACAGTACTTAGTTGACACTATGAACTTAACAGTCCTTTAATAAATAAAGTTGAACCCTTAGCATCATTATGTCATCAACTTGCTATTATTTTATAGATGAGGAAACTGAGTCCAGAAAAATATTAAGTAACTTACTCTGGTTTACCCCTTGAGTAAATGAGAGGGAGCGGGATTTGCATCCAAGACTCTTGAGTCCAAAGACCACGCTTTCCCACTAGGTATGAGGCCTCATTAAGCCAAGATCTGTTGAGAATTTCTTTCTATGTGCTGGGTGTATCACTATATAGTTCCATTTCATCTGGTTTAGACTTTGGAACAATCTTTTGATGCAAGTGTATACGTTTGCCACGTGAAGAAACTGTGGCTTACATGCCCAAGGTCATGTGGCAGCACTAAGATCCAGTCTTCCACATCCAGAGAAACCATCTGTGATCATAAGTCAGGCATCCAGCGAGCCCCAACAGCCACACCAGCAAACCCCAACAGTCAGATCCAACATGAAAGATCACAAGGCCTAAATGGATCAAACTTCTCCCCCTGAAACATTCTGACAGGCTTTGCTGATTTCTGGATTTTGCCTTCCTGTCCTGTCTCCCAGCAGCAGCACCATGCTGCTCCAGTGGGCTATTTATAGACCACCTGAAATATACTTCAGAATAGCTCATATGTATCCGTTGCAAAGTATTGTGGGAGTAATTCCTTTTTCAATGCCCAGGGAAAATTGAGGGGGTAAAAGAGAATAAAATAGTTGGGGAGGTGGGGGGGAAAGAAGTATACTGCTTAGAGTGTTTGAAATCTGTTTATAGATTGGTATTTTTCTCTTTCCTCTTTTTAACATCTCCATCAAGTCACTGAATGTTTATTAAAACGCTTGGCAAAAGGGAATATCTTATTTAAATAATGCTCTTTAGGTAATATGCTGTTTTGTAAGCATCACACAAGCTTTCTTCCTACTGTCTTCTTCGCATGGCTAAAGGAAAGGAAGATTCAGGATCATAGTTTGAAAAATAATAAAGAGCTAGGTTGCATTTCCTTGACGGTCAGTTCCTATTATGCCAGCCGTCTTCTCTTCGGCTGGTAAAATGCAATTGGAAGTTGTAAAATAATTAACCCAAAACAACAATAACCATACTATTGTCTATCAAAAACGTCTTTGGTTAAGAATGAAATAGTGACTGTAGCTCTTAAATACTGATCCAGTATAAACGGCTAACCTAGAATCTAAATCATCATTTCTTCGGCATCTTGTCAAGCATTGTAAAGAATAATATAAAAAAGAAACCACCAAATTCTGCCTTCAAATTGTCCCTCAAAAAGAAAAGACAGCCAAGATACACACCAAACTCTTAGAATGCCATAGCCCACCAACAGCAGGGCAGGGAAAGGATTCCAAAGGAGGGTCCAGGAGACCTGGTGTTTTGGTCAGTTCAGGCTGCTCCGATAAATACTGCAGACCACAGGACTTAAACAACAGACATGGATTTATACCAGTTCTAGAAGCTGGAAGTCCGAGATCAGTGTGCCAACATGGGCAGGTTCTGGTAAGAACTCTTCCTGGTTTGCAAATGGTCATCTTCCTCACAAGGCATAGAGAGTAACCATGTCTCTTCTGACTTTTTTAAGGGCACTAATCTCTTTCATGAGGGCTCCACCCGCATGACCTAATTAGTTCCCAAAGGCCCTGCTTCCAAATAATGTCACACTGGGGACTAGGCTTCAATGTGCGGATTGTGGAGGAACACAAGAATTAAATCCATAGCAGCTGGGTTCTAGAACCATCTTGGATGCCAACTTGCTCTTTCACACCCCTCTCTGGGCCATCATTTCCTCACCTGCGGACGACCTCTTCTTTCTCTTAGAGAAAACTAAAGCTCTGAATGCCACAGGCAGATGGCCGGCAGTATGAACAAGAAGTGTGGACACTGAGGAAGAAAGGCAGGGGCTTCTCAATGCACGCAGGGGATGTCTCTGGGGCAAATGGGACTTAAGATGAATGGAAACTCACTCCCCTGGGAAGGAGGACCAGTGTGCCTACAAAGAGAGCAAGGTACAGATCAGGAAGGAGAGCTCCAGATGGTGATAAAAAGAGTAAAAACTGTCAAAAGGAGGTTCAAAGACAGCAATAGGGTCAGGAGGAGGGTTCAGGGAAAATCAAAGAAACTTTTGGCTCCTTCCCCTAATTCACCCTCTACAAAGGTGGCACAAAATTTTTTCTACCACCCAATAAGATGGTATCACTTCCTTGAACAGAATCTCTCAATGACTACCTATTGCCTTCACTATTAAAACAAAATGAAACAAAAAAACTGACTACCCTTCTTACACACAATTTCTTACCCTTGATTTCAAAATTCAATCACCTCTAAAACCCAGTTTCCTCCTATATATTTGGCAGCACAAGTTGATCTAAACTAACATAAGGCTCTTTATGTTCTTTCTTTCTTGGGTGTGACTATTGTCAGCAAAGACTGTCCATAGTGATGGCAAGAAAGGAGGGTTATAGTACAATGCATAGAAGGATCTAGAGCTTTGATTCTAAGAAAGAAAAAATGATATAACTGCATTAGAACTGGCATTCACAAAAAAAAAAAAAAAAAAAAAAAGCTGGTTGAGGGTTCCATGGCATCACAGAGCTGAAGTTGATGAGACTATGACTTCCTTTAGAGTAAAAGCAATATATGATGATGTTCTATAAAATGTAGGGGCACCTGGGTGGCTCAGTCAGTTAAGTGCCTGACTTCGGCTCAGGTCATGATCTTGCAGTTCATGGGTTTGAGCCCCACATGGGGCTCTGTGCTGACAGCTCAGAGCCTGGAGCCTGCTTTGGATTCTGTGTCTTCCTCTGTCTCTGCCCTTCCCCCACTCATGCTCGCTCCCACACTCTCTCTCTCTTTCTCAAAAAATAAATAAACATTAAAAAAAATTTTAAGTAGGAAAAAAATTGAAAAACAGACATTTTTTAAACCACTCTGAAGTCTCGTCACATAAAGTCAGCCCACCAATTATTTGCAATATAAATTTTTATTTTAAGGGATTTTTTTTAAAGCTAGTTGTTATCTGTTAACTTTCTCTTAATCAATGAATGAAAGTGATTATTTTACTACACCTTATCAACATTAGGGACCATTATTTTGTTTTAAACACCAGCTGTTTGGATGGGGAATTTTTGAAAGGGGAAAATAAGCCCTCACTATTGTTTTCATTTGCACTTATTTGGTTACTCAGGGAAGTTTTAAAAAAACATACTTGATATTTGTGTTTTGCCTATTTATATCCTTTCTCCGTGTATTTCCTGGGGTCCTGGTATTTGTGTTATTGAATTTATATGAGTTTTACATTTATTACAAGAAGTTA